GATTCATCAAATACTGGTGTTCGATATATAATTGGTACACATTCTCATACATTATTTATTTCTCAAGATGCTCATATTCGTTGGGCAGCTCATATTGATTTTGTTCCTGTTCAAATCGAAGTATGCACTATTCAGTAAGTTTATAAATCAAAGTTTAATAAAAATTTCTTATTTAAAAACAAAAAAAAAAAAAATTCTTTTTTTTTTCTCAGAAATATACGTGGTATGATTTGTACGTTAAGTGAAACCGGTTTATTACAATGTTGTTATTTGGGTACTGATCCTGTTTCAACATCCATTCCAACTATAATGCCAAGTACAACAATTAATGTTCAAGATGCTGAAGAACAATTATCAAAATTAAATAAACAAATAAAACAAGCAATGAATGATCCAAGTAGAATATTTGTATATTTAATTATGATTGTAGTTGTAGTAAAAAATGTTTTTTCTTTCTTTTTTTTTTCGTCGTTATCTTATTTAGCTTTAGTAATAAAACGAAAAGCAAATGCACAAGTTATAATTCAAATTGATGATACAAATCAATATTCTGTAAGTTAATTGTTTTTGTGTTTTTGTTTTTGAACAAATTTATTTTTCTTTTTTAAATAAATTTTTTTAGACAACAGATGATACAAAATTTCAAAGAAGTGATACTGATTCTATTGTACCATTATTACGTTTAAATCTACGTGTAAAATGTAATGAAGCTATACAAAATGTTCTTCTTACTGTTCATGTTCATAGTCCATTATGTGCACAACCAAATGAAATTCGAATGGGTCATATTGGTGGTTTGTATTTTAATATAATATTTAATCAAAAAACAAAAAAAAATATTGTTTTTGTTTTAGGTATAGCTGCTATTGGTACAACAACAGTTTCATTTTGGATGCGAGATGATCTTACACCATGGAATCTTGATGCTACATTTACAGTTTCATACAATACATTGTCAGATAGTAAGTTATATCATATGTTTAATAATAAAGATTTTAAATATTAGAAAACATGATTGTTTTTATTTCTAAATATGTTGTGAGTATCGAGAAATTTAAGTATTTATATAATAATCTTAAGTCTTCTATAAGTTTTGATTTATATGAATGACTACAAAAAATCTTTTTTTTTCTTTAGGTGTTTGTCATACTATTCAAAAAACTTACAAATTACCATTAAAACTTGTTGCACGTTCATTCCAACAACCATCTTCAGCTTCTACTGCTGTTCAATGTAAAATAACATTAGGCGCTAATAAACCTGTAGTCGATTTGAATACAGTTTTTCCTGGTAAGAATATTTTATATTTAATACTTTTCTTAGATGACTTTCAAATTTTAAAATACGAAATAGTTTTTAAATGGTTCAGTTTTATAGAGCAAAGTTTACTTCACAAAATATGCTATTTGCTTTTGCATGACAGGTTTTTTAAATTTTCGTATTATTAAAAGCATTTTTTCAAAGAACGATTTTCCAACCAATGTCGATTTTCATTGAAACTAATTCTTTAGTAGAAACCCATAGGTCAATGAAAAATTCTGTTTCTAATGAACTACTTCTCAGTCTAACTAAACTTCTCATTGCCATGGAAGCCGCTCTCCGGAATTTCTAAAATGGTCAAGTATTCAAAAACTTCATTGGAGGTGACTATTATGAAGACCGCTATTAAATGAAGCTATTCATTTGTAATAATGTTCAAACCCTATATCTCAGACAAAGTTACTGATAATAGAATACATAATGATCATGATTTTAGATATTGACAGAAAATAAAAATGATTCCTAGATATTCTTTTCAGTAATGAATATTTGACTTCATGAGAAACATTTTTTGTATATGTAGACAATGCGTTATCAATTCAAAATTTAATAGCATATACAAAACTTTGCTCGAAAATCTGTATTTCGAGGAATAATTTATTTGTCTTTTTTTGTATTGACCGAAAAAAAAAGAGTGAATATTTTGTGCCATAATTGTGAAAAATTCAAGTAAAAAATAATTTTCTTTTTTTTTTTAGAACTTTCTAATGGAGAATATAATCAACAACAAGGTTTAACAACTCGATTTTATGGTTCAAATGAGAATGTATCCATATTAGCATCATCTAAATCACGTATATAATCATTTTTCTAGTTAAATTTTATTAATTTAATTCTCTATCTTTTTGTTTTACTAGAAAAATATCGTTTTCAAAGTGATTCTCTTTCAAGTATTTGGCTTTTTTGTCATTTACTTATTGAACAATTAAGTATAAGATCAACAATTGAATTTGAATTTGGTGATCCATTACCATTAAATGATTATTTTTTATTAATTGATCATCATTATGAATTACGTGTTGAATGTGAACAAATTAATGCAACATTAGATATATGTTCAAAACAATTTCGTGCTATACAAAAACGTTTATTAAATAAATTTAAAGATAAAACACCAACATTACTTGATAATTTAGATATTTTACTTGAAAATACAAATCAACAGGTTTAGTTTTTAACAAAATAAATAAATAAATAATTTTTCTTAATTCTATTGTTTTTCTTTTATTATAATTTTAGATTCTTGCATTAGCTGATCGTTATGAACAATGTCGTTATGAATTAAATCGATGTTCACATGATTTATCATGTGCAACAAAACTTATATGTCTTCTTTTAAAAATTAGTGTGAATCTTTCAAATGAAAATACGCAATTATTAAATGCTATTTTATCACCTGTAATATCAGATGATAATGAACAAGTAAAAATTACTTTCATATTTCCTTCATTTTAACTATTTTTATTGAATAACAATTCATTTAGAGAATGTAATAGTTGAAGATTTCTCATCCTAAAAAAAAAATCGTAGGTGAAATACATTTAACTGTAGTGGATAAGTAATGATAAAGTCTTCAGCTCTATATTATGATGTTTTCGAAAAATATTCAATAAACTAAAGTCAAAAAAAAATAGTATATTTAACAATCTGAAATTCTCTGTGCATACTGTCATTCTATATTTTTAATTAGAACAAGTAGGTTATATTGAAGTGTGTGAAAAAAAAGTCTTTTTTATTTTAAATTATATTATACGGAAAAAAAGAGATGCTAATTTCAATATATCAAAAAATAGTCTTCTATTTATAGAAATGTTTTTTAGTGTAATAATAGAAAAGCTTTATTTTTCAAAACGAGCTCTTTGAGGTATTGCGGCTTTACATGCTTCCTCGAACAAAAAAAAAGCAATTATATATAATAAAACTCGTTCGAGAGTTCTAGAATGCATGATTATAAAAAACATAGATAGAGAAAAATACTTCCGGTTTTTTTTGCGAAAAGAAAAACAACATATGTCTTAAACAGAAACTAACGGAAATTTTTAGAACAAAAAAAAAGCAATATGCCAAATGAAAGAAAAGATTCAATCTCAAGTTGTGCTTCATGTATTTATTTTAATTCTAGTTATTCTAGCGGAAATGAAATTTTATTTTAGGAAGTTCAAAAACTAATTATAAAATATGTCTCTGTATAGTTATAGTTCATAACATCTTCTAGCTATATACATATCGTGAGTTCTGATGGGATTAAAACATTTCCGTATTAGCATAGGAACTGTTTTTTAATTATATTTTGTATTAATTTAATAAAGAAAACTTTTAATATCATTCAGAAATTAAAGAATTTTATATCGATAAAATAATTAATATTCATTTTTGAATAATCGAACATCAAATCTTTCAGAGTTCTTCATCATTTTCAATAGTCTCAATCTTTACAAAAGTATTTCAATCGATTTTAATACAATTCATATTTGAAGTATTTCGTTTCCAAAATTTGATTTGTAATTCTTAATTTACTAGTATATTTTCTATCTAGTAAAGTTGTTTTTATTCTAAGACTTATAAACATTTATTAGAAAACCTAATGATTATCTTAAGTTTGAAGTTTATCATTCATTTATTTAACGAATATATAATATCTCTAATTTCCCATGAGAAATATTCATGTTAAAAAAAAATTAGTTTTCTTGTTGTCATAATAATATTTAATTTGTTCTTGTTGTTTTTATTCGCCTAGGGTTGGGAAGAAACTGTTGATCTAGCAGTTAATTATGCATTACGTACTGTTCTTTCAAGATCAAAAAGTGCTGATCTTGGTTCAATACCAAATACAATAGGAAATTCAACAGAAAATATTGATATAAATAAATTAAAAAAACGTATTCAAACATTATGTGAACGTTTAGAAAAAGGTGGTTCATTAGTTTCATCAAATCCAATAATAGATCGTAGTTTATCACCTGATTGTATGTACAAAATGAAATATTTCATTGATATAAATGTTTTTTTTTTTTGTTGAATAGCATCTTATACATCAACATCATTATCAACAAGAAGAGAAAAACCAATTGTTTCAAATCATCATAATCATAAAGAAAATGATGATAATGATGATGAACTACCAAATGGTGATTATGAAAGTATGTTTCGAAAATTATTTATTAAAATTTTTTTCTTTTTATTTTAAAAACAAAATATATATATTGTTTTTATTCGTTTTAAGATGAATTTCGTCTTTTACCTTCGACAAATGCTCGAAAGAAATATAATGATGATGATGATGACGATAATTAATAATTATTTTCTTTTTAAATTTTGTTTTGTGAATGCTTTTTTGTTTTTCATTCTTCTATCCGTCCAGTTTTCTTCTTTTTTTTTTTTGTTCAATTGTTTTTATTTTTTATGATGTTGCCTTATTCTATATTTCTTTCTCTGCTTCTTCTTCGTCTTCTTTTTTTTGATGCTTTCTTTAATGCTCATTCTTCTTTCTTTTTGTAGTGCGAGCTTTTGATGTGTCATAATAACTTCTTTTTTTTTTCTTTCTACGCGTGAGTTCTTGGGGAAAAAAAAGAAATATATAGATTTTCCTTCATATATTATTCTATCGAAACGAGAAAAAAAAGCGATATAGACATTTTTATTTTCTGGAAACAAGAAGTTTGAAAGTATCAACCTAAAGAATGGCACTTCAATTGACTCTATCATGTGATTCGGATAAAGTAGAAACTGGTCCAACACTTATACATTCAACTGGTGTTCAACATTATAAGATTTCACCAGAAATTGTAAGTAAAATAAACAATCGAAAGATGAATGTTTTCACTGAAATTTCAATTATCAATATACGAACAAGAACAAGTGAATAACATCTATTGTTTTCCGAATCATTTTTAGAATATATTTTATTTTTCACTAAGAAAAAAGTATTTTAGTCGTAGATTCAAAGACTTTTTCGGGTTCTATATTCTACCCAATGAGAAAATTCTACAATAGAAACAAAAAAAAAAGGAACATGAGTTAGGTCGTCTATTATTTCATATATATTTTGTAATGTAACTAAATAATGAAAATATTTCTCATGAGATTTTTATATTTTATAATCATATTGCCCTGAATAATATTCTCAATGTATTCAATAATAATAAAAATGGAAATGTGTTAAATTGAATTTTTTTGTTGAAAATATTTTTTCTTTCTTTTTTTTTCATTGTTTATATATTTACTAAATAGTCAAATTATATAAATAATATTCTTGTGTCATAGATTCGTATTTTACAAGATAGTCTAACAAATGATTTATTATCTGATCATGAACAAGGTGTTCTTTGTCAAGAAAATCCTCAACGTATTCTTGATATTCTTCGTCAAAATGGATATACTCTACAAAATCAAACAAATGAAGATGATAAAACTTTATGGGTAGTATCACAAGGTGGTGGTAATAATAATGAACAACCTGTTAATCCACCAGATTCAAATACAAGACCAAATGATGGCAATGATGCAGATGCTGATGGTGAAGGTCATGGTGGTGATGATGAAGCCGGAAATAAAGAAGAAGAAGAAGAAGAAGGACAAGGTGAAGAAGGAAATGAAGAACAAGAACAAGAAGAATAATAACAAAAAGAATACGTTTTTTTTTCTAATCAATGGCTTATTAAAAAACAATTTGCTATTATTTATCTATTAGTATATGTAACGTGTAAGTCTATATATAAATATATATTATAAATAAAACTTCTAGATATTCGATGTGTGTCTGACAAAAAAAAAAATCTTTCAATTCATAAGTCTGATTTTGGTTGCACATTTATAATTGTTCTATTAGTTTCTCGTTGAATATGATGAAGTTATACAAACATTAAATTTCAAACAAACAACTATTGGTATTAATTAATGACAGACAGAATTGTATTTATATTCTTTTTTTCTTTTGGTCTGATTATTTCTATTACTTGTACTCAGAAATAATCTATGCACATGATATTTGATATGCCTTAGGAATGATTTACAAATGAATGCTATTGATTTGAAACAATCTTCTACTAATAAGGCACTTAATACATTTTAGAAAATCGAATGTTGAATAAACAATTAAATATTGACATACAATTAAAAGATTACTATCAAGATGTTATTAATCGAATATTTGTTTATAATACAAGTTTAATATTTCTAGTATCTATCGAAATATTGATTATTGAAAAAATAAATACAATTAATGAATAATATCGAAAGTGTAATATGTGATGTAGGATTAATATTGGTTCTCATAGAAGAATGATGAAAGAAAAATTAGTATTTATTGTGTTGAATCGTATACGATTTATTTTTGTCAGAAGTTTATAAATGAATATAATGTAATAGAAAAGACAAGCATATGTTTAAAATAAATCCGTATGCAATTTTCATATGGTGTAGACTGAGATTATCAGCTGATAGAAAATTTTCTTCTCTTTCGAATTGAATATAATTTTATTTTGTTATACATTCATAAAGAAAATGACACAAGAAAAAGAAAGAAACATTCGCCAAATTAATTTTTAATTTTAATTCGAATAAGTCGTTTAAAACAATACGTAATTAATTATCTTATACTTTTCTTTTTCCTCATATTATTTTATGTCTGGTGACTAAAGATTTTTCTATATCAATTCGACTACTTCAAGTAAGTATTTTAAGTCTATATTTATTTATAGTATTATATTCTAATCTCGTACAATCTAAAGAAGCTTTTCCAATTCATATATTTGCGGATGACCTAAATATGTTAATCAGAGCTCCAATTAAAAAAACTAGAGTCAATGTTATAGTTTCTAAAACAGGAAAGCACTTAAGTGTGCAATCAACTTTTTGCATTGACTAGAAAGTGGAAACAAGTGATCAATATCTTCATATCAGTCTAGCGGATATTTCACACAAAATGTCATCTACATTTCTTAACAGTATTGTTGAACAACTTTGGATACACTTGAAGAAGTAATTTAAATCTGTTACGAATCTTCTAGAAAAGGTTCCACAATCGTAAATGAAATTGAAATTGTTGAAATACATCAGAATGTTCTCAATCAACGTATTGAGATAATGTTTTTTCTTGCTTGATGTTTCTTCCTTTTTGTCTTTCTTTCGCATCGACAATAAGAAGTGCTGCGACAAAAGTTTAGGACAAAGCTGAGATTAGTTCATCGATCCTTATGGATAGCAACTCATGAAATGAATTCATTCACAAATCAGATCTTGTAATGATATTTCATTTTTTATCGAAATTAAAAAACATGAAATAGAAGCAGACTAGGAGATTCATTTCATTAAAGGAACTGAAAAAGAAACATAAATCTCTGTTAGAAATATGATTAGAATTTGCTGAGAATAAATGATGAGCACAATTTACAACTCAAGCATTCGTCATCTTTTTTCTTGAATTTCTTTGCTTATTTTTTTCTTTGTTCGTCTTCTATAGCTTTAACATGAGCACTTAGTTCTAAGTCGTTATTTGTCTATTCTTTGCAGATCTGTTTTGACGAAAACATGATTAACATTATATTATCGTGTTTGCTTCTTATTCTTAACGATCTTTCTTTTCCTTCTTTTTTATATATTTCATCATCAATTTTGTAAGCACTTCAGAGCATCATATATTATTTATATGGTCTTACAATAAAATATTATTCTTAGGATGTTAATTATCGAAAGAATTTCATGAAATGAAAATTTTTTTCTTTTGAGCTTTTTTTTAGTCTTATTTTTAATTATTTCATTCAATATAAATAATAAAAAAAAGAATCTATTTTCTTTTTCTATGAATTATGTTGTCAATGTATTAGAATTATTTTCTTGTGTAGATACTTGTTTTCCTATTCGTTGACTAGTACCACCAAATGATGCATGTGAACGAGTATCATTTGTAACTGTACGACGATTTTTTGAAGTACGTGATGATCGTTTATCAGATGATGAAATTATTTCAACATAACCAATTAAAATAACACGCCATATTCGTACAATATCACCTTTTGTTGTTACATTAATTGCTGCTCGACATGTTTCATTGGGCTAGAGAAAAAAAAAATATTCAAAGTTTTTTATGAAAAAAATAAAATAAAATCGAAGACCTACATCAAAATTAGCTGATGGTGTCCAAGTGATTTTCACGACTTTTTCTGTACCCATTTCAACAGCACTCTGAAAATTATGTAAAAAAAGATAAATAAATAAACATTCTTGGAAAAAAGTATCTGTAACCCATGAGCTGCTACAATCCTTTATAATATTGAGTTGATGGTTTGAGTGCGCGCGACTGACAAGCAGTCCCATTCGCATGCATCAATCCATCTTCTATTGGTTTACATGTACTAGCATCGTGTTATTCTTGTGAATACTTGATCTCAACCATACTAGCACAAACATTTTCGTTCAACTCCTCATTTGAAAAGCCACTGTCATAGTTGTCTCTAGTTCAATTTTGTTTTTGGAAATAACTAAGATATTGCTCTGTCATTAAGAAGAACATATAGAACTGTTGGATGATGTTCAACTTCGCATTTAGACAACGAGTAGGTCTCGGTGAGGCTAAGAAAAAACTTAAACGGATTCAGATACATGTCTTACCGTTGAAGAGTTATGGCAGTTTTGAAGAAATTTTTACTGAGAGAAAATTCTTTTCAAAAAATTCGAAACAAAATTTTTCGAACTAAAACTATATCTATAAGTATGTTTGATAGCCCTGAAAGTTCTGACGAAAACGAAGATGTCTTTCTCGAGTTATTCAATTTCTAAGTAGACTCGATCATTGTATCTTCCTATGATAGTCGACTATGTTTTTAGATATTTGAATATCTCATCAAATATATGTTCGTTTTCGTTGAAACTTCCAAGACTATCAAATGTACCTATACACACAAGTTCAGTTCGAAACTGTTTGTTTCGAATTTTTCAAAAATGCCTTGTCCTTAATCAAATTTTTATTAAAACGACTATAACTCTTAAGAGGGCGTCCATGAGATCATCGAGGAATTTTTAAAGGGTCCATACTCCCGAAAATTTTGGCCACCTCATTTTATTTGTGGAATCGATAGCCCATGAGGTGAAACTACTCTACCCAAAATATTTGCTCGATTGATTATATAACAAAAAAGTTATGCAGACCACACTGATGACTACACACTGATTAAGTCAAAATTGATACGACGTAGTTATCAAGCAAAAATCAGTATTTTTGAGAAATTATCTCTCAAGATTAGTTGATCCCAGAAATTTGGATCGTACATCGGATGGGCAAATAAAAAAGCTACAAAACCAGCCTAAAACAAAAAGTTTTTAATCCGTAAAAAAAAAATTTTTTTTTTTGGGAGTATGGGGTTTCTCGATCCTGTGGTGGACTCTCTCTTAAACAGTAGACCATGAACTGAATCCTTTTAGGCTTTTCTTAGTCTTGTCAAGACCTAATCGTAGCTTCGAGTGTTGTTCGATAGTTGAATATGTTCCTTCGTGAGATACTAACTATATTGTCAAGAGTTTTGGTAATTATACAACCAGCATTTGAGACTAACACTAGAAAAATAAGACAATAGTAGTTTGTGGGATAACAAAAAACAAGTTGAATATACATTTTTGCTGAATATGTTTTTCACAGGAGAAAGAAGATATATGAATTATAATATCCATACATGTGAACTTGTCGTACGCATGCACTCAAATTCTTAGCTCAATATCGTAAAGAATAGCAGTACTTCATAGAGGAACAGATACTCATGTCCAGGGCTGCATGTGTATCGAGAAAATGATTATTTAATTGTATTCAATTATTTACTTTTGGAACATCGACATTAAAACCTTCAGCATTAATATCTTTTAAATTATCAAATGTATAATCACCATTCTAAAATATAAATGTCAAAGTCTATAATATATATTCATATAAAATTATATTTCTAAAATACCTTTTTAGGTCCACTTGATACTGATGCACAACCAACAATTAATTCACGTTGAGCAGGTACATATTTTCCATTAATAAATTGTGCACAAAGTAAAACAAGAATATTATTTGGTATTCCTTTTTCATTAGGATCTAAAACAAATATCATCAATACATTTTATGAACAAATAAAAACAAAACTTTCATTAAATTTATTCTAACCTGTTGTTTGCATTTGCATAGTTAATGCATCATTTACATTTGGTAAAAGACATTTTTGTACAATATTACCATTATCTAATGGTCGTATATATACAGTATTTTGACGACCAGTACCTCGTAAACGAAATTCAAGTTTAACAGGCTACAAAATAATTTAATTTATTTTTTGTTTAAAAACTTTTCATTTTTTTCTATAAATCAAACCTGTTCAGAAATAGTAATGCGAACAAGATCCGAAAAGAAATCAGAATCATGATCAGGACTAAATATCACTGTCAGTTGTTTTTTACCACCAGGTGGTATTACTCCATCAAGTGGAGCTATATCGAATACTGATCGACCACTTAAATTTTGTGGACCTGAACGAAAACAAAACATAGATAGATGAGTAAAAAAAGAATTTATTATCATAACTTACCTATAAGATGTTTATTAGCATCAAATGCAGTACCCCAAACATTTTTATTCTCTTGTTCTA